GTACTATTCAACATTTTAATAAATGGTCTCAAGGGGACAGATGGAGAACTCATCAAATTTGCAGGCACCAAGCTGGGGGAAATAGCTAACACTTTAGATCAGGGGTCTTCAAACTTGGCCTTTTTATGACTTGTGGACTTCAACTATCAGAATCTCTCAGCCAGGCATTTTGGCTGAGGAATTCTGGGAGTTGAAGTCCACAAGTCATAAAAGGGCCAAGTTTGAAGACCCCTGCTTTAGATGATAGACTCAAGATTCAGAAAGACCTTGACAGATGTAAACACTGGGCCTTATCCAATAAAATGCAATTCAGTGATGAGAAAAGTAAGGTCTTACACTTAGGCAAGAAAACAAAATCAAAAGCACAGGTATAGAAATTCTATTCTATTCTATTCTATTCTATTCTATTCTATTCTATTCTATTCTATTCCATTCCATAATTTCCTGACAATGAGAACAATTAATCAGTGGAACAGTTTGCCTCCAGAAATTGTGGGTGCTCCACGTTTTTATGAAAAAAATTGAACAACTATTTGACCAGAGTGGTAGAAAGTCACCTGCTCGAGCAGGGGGTGGACTAAAGACCTCCAAGGTCCCTTCCAACTGTTATTCTATGTTCTAAATAATTTTTCAAAAGCGGGAAAGGACTCTACATCAAACTATTTACTAAATAGACTGTACTTCAAGATTCACTTTGACAATAATAGACAGAATCTTTATTACGGTCAATGATCAAGACATAGTAAAACTTGATACCATAAACATATTGCATATGTGTAGGAATGTATTTATCATAAATATTTTTAATTATGGTAAAAAAGAATGGAAAAATTTTGGAAATAAATATGTATTAGCTTAGGAGGAACATGTATTTTAAGTAGCATAGTCTTTTTATTTTTCTTTACTCTTATTCTTCTTTTTTAGTCTTATTTATTCCTTAAGAAAGGTAAAAGTATTGAAATGGCTTACATGAGGAAAATAGACTTAAATATTTAAACATAATTAACTTTGAGAAAATCTTAACCAGTAAGAATGTCTTGAACATTGTGGGAAAAATAAATGTAAACAAGAACTGTAAACAGGATCTATGATGAGGCAACCAGAATGACTAGATAGAAAAAAATATTATATTGATGTGATTATTATCTGTAGAAATATTAGAAAAAAATTTATACCCAATTGTTATCTACCAAAACAACAAGAATTGTATTAACTTAAGGTTGGCAAAAGAGAACATTATGGGAAAAAGAGAAAATCAAGTAATGCTATTATGTGGATTATAGATCATAGAAACTGTCAGTGAATGTTTTTCAGATGTAAACCCAGACAACACAGTTTACCAAATATTAAGGTGACTAGGTTAAAAAATCAATAAAATATATTATAAAAAAAGGAAACTATTAATCATAAATCTAATTAGACTTATCAATTAGTGGGTTATGTGTTTTACATATAACACAGCAGACTATACTTAAAGTAACAAAATCAAATGTAGGTAAAAGCGCTCCATGGCAGCGGACCAGGATATCTTCGAGACCGCCTTCTGCCACAGATTACCTCCCATCGGCCTGTACGCTCCCACAGGGTGGGTCTCCTCAGGGTGCCGTCGGCCAGACAGTGCCGGCTGGCGACCCCAAGGGGGAGGGCCTTCTCTGTGGGAGCTCCCACCCTCTGGAATGAGCTACCCCCAGAGATCAGGGNGACTGGCCTAGGGGAAAATTTTAATGGGGTCTTAAAGCAATTTTATATTAACTTGACCAAATTACTAATATTTGTTTTTACTTATGTTTTTAAATTGTAGTTTTTGGGGATTAGTGTTTTATCTGGTTGTTAGCCGCCCTGAGTCCGTAAGGAGAAGGGCGGGATATAAATTAAATAAATAAATAAATAAATAAATAAATAAATAAATAAATAAAAATAAAGTTGCAAATGATCTGCTTTGAATGACTGGAAATATTAAATATGGGTTATAAGCTCTAAGTAGGTATCAGCATAAAATAGGCAATGTAATAAAGAGTGGATTAAGATTTTAGTGGTCACTTTGCCACACTGAAATGGCCAACAATGCAGCTGGTGGAGCAGAGGTGTAATATGCTGTTTTAGGACCACACATAACTGCGTGCACTGCTGCATTCTGTACCAGTTGAAGCTTCCAGATACTTTTCAAGGGCAACTCATGTACAGCACATTGCAGTAGCGTGATCTGAAAGTGACTAGGGCATGAATGACCATAAGCAAGGCCTGCTGATCCAGGAATAGCTGGCACACAAAGTCTGCAAAGACTTTCCTGGTCACAACTGCCACTTGCTCATTGAGCAGGAGTCATGAGTCTAGGAAGACCTCCCAATGGCACACCGAGTCTGTCTAGGGCAGTGCTACCTCATTCAGCACCAAAAACGACATAGTCCTTGAATCAGAGGGCCCCCAAAACCAAAACCAAACTCTTGTCAGTGTTCAGCTGAAGCCTGTTGTCCCCATCCAGATCCTCACAGCCTCCAGGCAGCAGGATAAGATGATTACGACATCGCTTGAAATGGTATAGGCCAGGGGTAGGCAACCTTGGCTCTTTTATGACTTGTGGACTTCAACTCCCAGAATTCCTGAGCCAGCATGGGTTTCCTGCCTGAGCAGGGGGTTGGACTAGAAGACCTCCAAGCTCCCTTCCAACTACTACTACTACTACTACTACTACTACTCTTCTTCTTCTTCTTCTTCTTCTTCTTCTTCTTCTTCTTCTTCTTCTTCTTCTTCTTCTTCTTCTTCTTCTTCTTCTTCTTCTTCTTCTTCTTCTTCTTCTTCTTCTTCTTCTTCATCATCACCATCATCCTCATCACCATCAATTTTCCTTTCCCTGCAAAAATACTGAGCTCTGAAATGGGTGCTTGCAAGAAAGGACACAGGATGTAGATTGTAACTGTGTAAACCCAAATACTTCCACAACTATCTGCATGACCCACACCTCTAGCTGCGAATGTTTCCCAGCCCTGTGATGAATGTAGCCTTGAATGAAAACAGAGCCTCAACTCAAAGAAGGCTTGGATAGAATGGATGAGGCCAAGCAATGCATCCTGGTCATCAATCATTCTTTTCTTCTTTCTCCATTTCTGGAATGCACAGCGGGCTTCCTTTCCATATCTTTCTATTGCTTTTCTCCTTTTTGCTCTTCATGTGTTGTGTTAGCCAAAAAAAGATCCTTCCAAAACATTACAAAATTAAGTACAATATGGTTCTTTATTTAACATGTTGATGTTACATTGTGTTTCGTATGTAAAGAGCTAAGCACTCGAGAAACATGGTGTGTTTTATTTTTATTTCAGAGATGTTAATTGACAGCTATAGAAACGAAAGTTTGAAACTTCCATCATTTTTCTGCAGCTTTCGGGTACTTTGGTTCTCATGAAATAATATGTAAAATGCTGACACCTAATGTTAAGTTTGAGTATTATCGTAAGATTCATTCTGTAAACAAGTTAAGGATAAAATCATAATTGCTACCCTGACAGAAAACTACCCCAAATAGCCCATTACTAATATTACAATATCAAGGAAATTAATTGAAATGGGATAATATTTTGTCTCAAAGTTAGCAACAGCTAAACAAGTCAGTAAACTATAAAACTAAAAGAATGTTTCGTGTTTGTGTTATCACTAGCTAATATTCAACAGCATGATGAGATAGGATAGTGTCATTGGGCAAAAACTAGCATAATCTGATATTCACCTCTCAATCTTTGTCAAACTGGGGAAAGCAGTTTCTAATATAGGTCCTAACAGAAGATAAAGCACAGAACAGCTTCCAGGTGAAATGAGGAAGTGGAAACCATTAGCCCAGCATATGCTGAAGCATGCATTAAGTCTCTCAAATATCAGTGCCCACCAAGCCTAGAAAACTGCTCTAGAAACTCTATCCATTAATAATGCCACATGCATGATCAGAAACATGCAGAACAATTCAATGAAAAGTTTGTATAGGCAAGGACCAGTGAGTTGAATTTAAAAGAAAGGATAACCAGTCTTAATATTAAGAAGAATGTTTTGATGGAGCTTTTAAGCAGTGAAACAATGTCTCCAAAACAATGGTTGACTCTCCTCTTTGGAGGTTTTCAATTGGGGACTAAATACCATTGGTGGATTCCTACACTGAAGGAACCCACAGATTTGTCAGACACAAGGAATCAGAACAGGCCAAAGCAATTTCTTTATTGTTGATCACCCATTTACAAGAATCTCCCAGACTGACTGCATTCCCTTGGGAAATGGTAGATAAAGGCATCAATAGTCGGGCCTCTTTCATTTCCTCCCATTGAGCAATTCCATGCTGGAATGCCTTTTCACTCCCTTTTCCTTTGGCTGGTGATTCTACCACAAGACTCTTCCAACTCATACATTTTATGAGTCTACAAATCCTTCATGAATTCTTACATACTTCATTTATATATATATATATAAGCTGAAGAATATGAAATGTTTAAGATATTAATATACTCTGACAATATTTTATTTAATCTAAATCACAAATCAAATGTAAAATACATCATACCTAAAAGGTATCAATATTTGGACAACACCTTTAAGAACAGATCTCGATACCTGAACAAGAGTTATGGCCCCTCGTGTACTTAAGGTAACAATATGAAGTCAGTGAATTGCTAGCCATTCATGGTGACAGCACAAAGTATCAAGAAGTTTTTACTCTTTATGTGCAGGCAAAAGTCCCTCCCAGTCCCTCAGGGAGAAAGGTGGCTGCTTGCCACTTAACGTGGACTGCGTTTACACAGGAAGATATCACATAAACAGGAACGATCAAAAGTCCTATTCTGCATAATGATGTCACACAAAACTTCCAGTGGGTGAAAGCATGAGTTTTAATAGAAAGCATATTACAATCCAATATTGAAAGTGAATTAATCTTTGGAAGTAAAGCAGTAGAATAAGGCCCAATCTGGAAGAAATTCCACCCACGCCCCCCCAAAAGATGTTCGAAACCTCCAATGCATTTGGCCAGGAGAAGAGGACAAAGATACAGTTATGTTGTCAATAAGATCAGGAAAGCGACTTCGAGTTTGCAGTCTGCTTGGCAGCTGCAACTGCGGATCCTAGGATTTCCACAAAGGTGTGCACATCCTGGAAAGTATTGTAGAGAGGAACTGGGGCAACACGGAGAGCGTCAGGTTCCCGCATGTCGCACTGCAAAACACCCAGATGAATATTCCATAAATTTAACGCCTTTGTGTTGGTTTGTCAAAGTGAAAACACAAAAAAATCGCATGTGTAATATTTGTTTGTTTCTTTTAGAATACTAATCAGTCACCATACTTTCCTACAAACCTTTTGCCTTATAATCTGGAAGAACACAATGACAAATAATTTCCAGGTTGTTTTTCAAGACCATTACATGATTGGCACTAGGACTTCAACTTAAAAAAAAAACAACCCTTATTTTTCATGTGTCTTTCCAATCATTACTTTGTTCTTGGGTGAAATGATAATCCCAGTGAACCTCTCATCTTTTCCATTAATCACAAAACTGGAAACATAATAATCTAATAAGTCTCATAATTCCAATATATTAGACAGAACCAGAGTTGTCTTTCTGCTAGCGGAAGGAACCAGAATCCACCAGAGCACAATTTTCCTTTCGCACAAAGTTCATAAAAGCTGCATTATTAAATTACACAGCATAATTTTCAGGGGACATTTTCTTTGGATAATATTTTGAAGGAATTGTCTGATATGGTTAAAAAAAAAGGTAATTACTTTTAAGAAGGAAGGAAATCAACCAACCAACCAACCTTTAGACCAGGAGTGTCCAATGTTGGCAACTTTGAAGACCTATGGACTTCAACTCCCAGAATTGCTGGCTCCTGCTTTAGACTATTTAATGCTATTGTATAACCACCCGCAACTTTACGCTACCCAGTTCCAATTTTCCCAAAATTGTTGCATATTTATTACAGGGACGTGTAGCTCAGCTTTGGTCGTAATTTTATGACTTACTGAAAACTCTCAAGTGATTCTTCCACTGCAATGACCCAGCAAATGCATCTCACATATTCTACTTTCTGCTCCCTGAAACCACGAGGTCAACACTCAATATTTATGAATTGTGAAATGCTACTTTAAACTTTATTTTGTTTTGATTATTCTACCCTGCCTATTATAACGCCAATACTATTCTAAAATTAACATGGCCACTTCCACAAAATAAAAGCATTTTTGAAGTTTCCAACATAAACCTAGGCTACTTACAGCGACGCCTCGTTTTTCCAGCTCTTTAAAAACATCTCTGATTGGAACAGAGAAAAGTAAGGTGAGCTGGCATCCTCTTTTTTCATGGTGGGATGGTGTGATTATTTTTATAAGCGGCTTCTCAGGGTCATTTCTATCTTTGCCGTAATAGTGCCTTATCAAATACTCCAAGTAGCCAGTAAGAAGTATGGATTTCCTTCTAAGGCACTTCACTGTACTTTGAGCAAAGATCTAATTAAAACAAACAAACAAAAATATCATTGCTGCATGAAAGAACGTTGCTTTCTCTACAAAGACAGCCTAAAATGAACCATTTCAACCACACAGTACTACCCTATTTGGATTTATTGTCAACATTTATTTGATCACTAGCAATATCATATAACATGAAAACACAACAAAACAACAGTTTCCCAAAGTTATAGCTAGCCCATTTCTTTTTGTATGGTGTCCCCTTATTGTAATGACACTTCAGACATATTCAAGCAATCGGTTCCCTAAGAGCCCTTCCATTCACTGCACCCACCACATATTGTAACAAATGCACTTGAAAATTATCTCTTGCTAGCTTAATTACATGCACATTGTCTACTAAGTACCGTTCTTCTCTGCTTCTGTATGTTGTGTTACAAGAATGATCAGACATTCCCAAGAAAGGAACAGCATAAAGCTGCAACTGCTTCCCAGGGATAGTAGGTCTTGCAGGAAACATGTGGATTGGGAGCATGAGGCACTTTGTTAACATGATGGCACTGGGAACAAATATTCACAACTTTAAATGCACTGGGACTTGGGGAGAGAAAGGGATAAAAAATACTACTTGCCAGCATGGGGGAAGGCAACAGAAGTCATCTCATGTTGCAAAAAACTTTGGGAAATGAGTTGCTGTAGTAGACCTTTCCCAGCTGGAGTTGCATTTATAAGGATTTGGTAGAGGAAATATACGGATAAAGAAAAATGTTTCCATCGCAAATGTTCTTTCTTTCGCTGTAAAAGGAAAACTGCCTTTGTTGTGTGTTTTAACACTTGCCTTGTTCAGCTGTTTCTTTAGAAACTGTACCTTCTGCTTAATGTATCCCTATGCAAGATGGCAGTCCATTTCATAAGTGTCATCTTTTGCCAGAGACCGCCTATTTCACTGTACTACAGCAATTAACGCAAGGGAATCCTGACTGTGCCAAAAGTGTAATGCAAACACAAAAAGGCAAGTCCATAGAAACTGATGTGCTCTTCCTGCTTTGACCCCCTGTAGTGGGCTAAATGACAGATTCTCTTCCCCCCCCCCACTCATTTGTAAGCACCATCTGGGTCAGAGCACAGTATCATCTCTAAGGTCATATAAAGTTTACAAAATACAAAAGATGTTTTAAGGGTAAACCAAATTAATTGCTCAAGAGAACAAATGAACGAATAAATAAACGAATAAATAAATGCACACCCTCACACACACCCTCTCACATACGATATACCCGCCATATCCCCTTGGCATTTCTTAATGCAGAATTTTAAATCTTAATGTTTTCAAATAAAACTCTCTAGGTTATTAGTAATTCTGTGATTGATTTTGTTTTGTTTTGTTTTACTGGCAATGCAATTTAGGGGGGAAAAAATAGCTTGGTTTTCACTTCCAAAATGTCCCCAAGTGAGACTTCGGCAGCCTGAGATGAATAAAAATATGTGTGAATATCAAAGGATATGGATGGCTGTCAAATAGCATTTTTCAAAGATATACACACAACATTAGCTTCCGATAGAAATCAGTGTGTAAGTAGCAAATTATGAATCAACACCCATTATATTAGGTTTCCCTAAAGATTGCTAATTGTTTTCTACAAAGCAACTAAGCCGCCCTGAGTCCGAAAGGAGAAGGGCGGGATATAAATACAATTAATAAATAAATAAATAAATAAGTGAAGACATGCGAGGTATATTAGATCTTCTAGTCACACGATTGAGACTTGATATATTAAATTCTACATTATTTTTTTCTTTGAAAAAAATCACTGATTTGTAACTCAAACGTGAATAATATTCCAGGATATATTGCTTCCCAGTATTTCTATGAAATTTGAGATTTTGCTTGTGGTTAAAACTCTGGTTCCTCTATGTGATGTTGCTTCGGCATTCTGTGCAACTGATAAAAACTTCATAACAATAAACCCCTCTGCTGACAAACATTTAGTTTTCCCTAGCATCAATTGATAAATTAAGAAATAAATTAAACTGGATACACTGGATACACTGGAATGTATTTACTTGTTTACTTCTTTAATTTAGAGTCCCTTGGCTCCTATTAACTCCAGGAGACTTTCACTTTAAAAACAAATAAGAATAAAAAGCAAGAGACAAATTGTGGACATGCAGCTGAGAAATAGCACACAAACCAACAAGAGTATGCTCTTTCTTCAAAAAGCCTATCCATATTTTCCAAAGAAAATGTCCCTATAATAATATTACATCAGGATGTACATAGCTTTGTTCTAAGAAACAGAATTATCAATAAGAGCATTTTTTACATTTATAATGGTGTAAAATCTGGCTTTTCTGTAGAGTAGCTTCAGAGCATACTATGTCTGTTGGTACGTAAGCTTTTTCTCATCTGGACATCCATGATTTTTTTCTTATGTTTTATTATTACTTGCTTTTAAAGCGAAAGCCTCTTCAGAGTCAATAGGAGCCAGGGAGCTTTAGATTAAATAAAAGAACTAAATAAGTAAATATGTTCCCATATAAGCTTGCAAATTTTAATTTCTTTCTTAATTTATCAGTTGATGCTAGGGAAAAATAAATGTGGATCAGCAGAAAGCTTCACTGTTATGAAGTTTTTCTTAGTTAGTCTGATGGGTTGGCTCAGCTTGATGTTACAGAGTGCCTACTACTGTACCTCATTGATTTTTGCACCAAAAACATACATATAGAAGAATGCTTGTATTTTAGTTACATAATTTATTCATTTAATTAATTAAAGTACTGCATGTTTCCAGCTTCAAAGCCTCCCTGTCTTCTGTCTGATTCAAGCACTTCGCTATGGATCGGCTCATGTCCCTGCTGAAAGGGGAACATGGGACTGCAATGGAACCAACGAAGTGGGCGAAGTACAGGTGATGTACTTGGTACTCAACTGCTCTGAAACTCATCAGATTTGGTACTCAGTGCATTTTGATGCAAAAATGTCGTCCTGGTACTCATTGCAGAAGCTAGAACTTTTCAGTGTTGGTTGCCTTGTAACTCACTACATTATTCCTTAGGGGGAAAATTTGTTTGGTACTCATAGTTTTTGGTACTTCTCGAACCAATTAACGATGAGTACCCAGGTACCAATGTAAAAGGTTATTCAAAGCATTTGTCTTTGGACAGATTTTTCAATTTACTGTCATCAAAAAGGAATATTGCCTAATGAAACAACATTTTTTTCCTTTGTCTGAATGTCTTCCCTTAGGAGAAAATAATTACTCACCTCTAAGCTAGCGTGAAGAGCACAGACCAATAAGATGGAAGGATTTGATAAACGAAATCCGTTGATTCCAGGGCTGAGTTGCAATTCTGTAACAATAATAAGTTATGTGAGGAATCTGGTTATATATAGTTGGAGAAGTATTAGGTCAGTGGTGGCGAACCTATGGCATGGGTGCCAGACGCGGCACTCGGAGCCCTCTCTGTGGGCACACGTGCCGTTGCCCCAGCCTTGCCTCCCCCATAACCCCCTCCTCACCAGCAGCCCCCCTGGAGGAGAGTCACCCCCGAGCGTGGCCCATGCGGAGCAGTGCATCCAAGGACATGGCAGCCAGGCAGTGTAGACAAGACTCTGCCCTCACACCCCATCGTGCACAGTTGATGCTGCGGGGCGCGGGCAGAGGGCGTGGCCACCATGGCACTGCTGGGCGATCTGTGGTGGGCCCTGGAGGCAGTGAGTGGCCCTGTGGGCAGGCGGGGTGGGGGCGGAGCAGGGGGGTCAGTTTTTGGGCACTCAGTCTGTAAAAGGTTTGCCATCACTGTATTAGGCTGTATTCAATATTATTTGAATGTCCTCTCTTGTAGAGAGCTTCAGCCAGGCCCTCCAAATCAGGTTTGATGCTACTCCATCAGCTAATCAAAACAATTGGATGTCAACAATTTTCAATATTTTTAATGCAAAAAGTAGAAATTTAGCTTTAAAACATTTTGATCTTTTCCATATAGTACCAAATGATCCCCATAGATTTGATTAAAGACTATTAAGGTTGCACAAGCATTCATATTTTTATGAAAGAAATAAACAGGCCTTGTTTAACTTTGAGATTAATCCCTGAGGAAACTGTCACTTTCGATAATGGTAAGTGACTTTAAAAACTTTAAAAAATATATTTTCCAAATTATTTTGAGGGCAGCACAATTAAACAGGAGTAACTTATAAAAAAGCAATAAGGCCTTAGTAGTATTACTAGCTAGTTTAGTGCCTCAAACCCATTCTTATTGTGTGATGTAGCAAGTTCAGGACTCCAAGTAGATTTTAAATGCATAAAAAAGAGTGTAAATTAAATGTCAATGTTACAACACTAATCAAAATGAAACAAAAACAGGTTGCTAAGCGACATGCACATAATAATGCCAAATAAATAACATCAAAATTTGGAATTTCCACAGAACAACCAATGTTGCCTTCCGGTTAAGGCTAGAACTATAGAGGCCACTAATTTATTTCACCTTTATAATAAAAATGTTGATTTTTTTTCCCTTGACATTTTGGTGCTTGTTTGCTACAACATGCTTTCGATCTCCTGTGCTGTCTTTCTCTTCTCTCTTTCTTTTTCTCTCTTTATAAAGGCCTTTATAAATCATCTATATAAATTTGGACTTTTTAAAGCTTTTGACTCTTTGATCTTTAATTTCAGGTTGGAATGGAAACATTTCCCTGTATTGAAAGAATCGTTGGTCTTGTTCTGCAGCAACTTTATTACTTTTGATGCCGTTTATATACGTTCATAAAAACAAACAAGTTAAGCAGTAATTTAAAACAAGTAATTTAAAACAGAAGGGTAAATATACATACTGTTTTCCATTAGAAACCTGGTTTTGTAGTCATGGCCCCACCATCCTATTAAACTGGGGAGGGGGCGATAGTAAAGGACCAGGGAAAAAGAAATGACAAGGATTAGTGACCCAATTAAAAAATATATATTTTTTTTTCACAAGACATTTTCTAGCAAGATGTATGAAGAATATGAGAATGGTATGAAAGGCCCATAGTGGAGTCTTTTTGATTTTCAGTACTCCTGTAGATGTCCGAGATAAAATAGTTGATAGGTATTTTTCACAATAGAGAATATAGATTATATCATAAAGTAATCACAAATCTATAAATCATAGATTGGGAGGAATTGATAATGTTTTTTTTAGACTCTTGAGAGATTCATAGGCCTTAGTACTACGTCCATAATAATCAATGGATACAGGAAGTCCTTGATTTGAGACCAAAATTGGAACTGGAATTTCGGTTGCTAAGTGATGTGGTCAACTGAGTCATCATGTGACTGGACCCTATTTTAGAAATATTTTTACTGTGGTTATTAAACAAATCACCACGGTCATTAAGCAAATCTGGCTTGTCAATTGACTTTGTTTGCCAATTGACAACACGCTGCAATATCATAAATGTGAGCTGGTCACCAAGTCCCTGAATTGTGATGTGACTGTAGAGCAGGGGTCTTCAAACTTGGCCTTTTTATGACTTGTGGACTTCAACTCCCAGAATTCCTCAGCCAGCGTGCCTAGCTGAGGAATTCTGGGAGTTGAAGTCCACAAGTCATAAAACGGCCAAGTTTGAAGACCCCTATTGTGTGATAAGTCATAATTTCAAGGATGGGTCATAAATCACTCTTTCCCAAGACCCCAGTAACTTCTAACCGTTGTTAAAAAAAACAGTTGTAAGTTGAGAACTACCTATAATGCTGCCTAAACTCTTGGGGATGCAGATCTTTTCTACAGAGAGATGGCCATCCCAACAAATATTCAAATGATAACTTCCTAAATCCAAGGGAAGCATTGCAGGCCAAGGAGCAAACCAAAGAACTATCTTCTGTCCGCAAACGCAATCAAGAACAGAAGAACCCTACAAGAACCTTCAGAGGCCGGGGAAGAAAGCTCCAGCAAATTCTGTGGGTTTAGTCTCAATGAGGAGCGACTTTTCGTATGTCAAGGTATAAAATGCTAAGACGTCTGCATTTACCCTTGCAAAGCTTTCAAAAATTACATCTGCAGGCAGGTTTCCTGTACGTTTGGGCTCCAAAAGTGGTATGAGAGAAACTAATACAAGTATTCCTTGTTTAGCAACTGCAACTGGTTCTGGTGAAATGATTGCTTTTTTTGCACTCATGTCAGAAGCAATGGGGCGCTTCCAGGTTGAAAGGATTAGCCAGTGACATCACTGTTGCCCTGGGGACGTCTAGTTGGTGGCTCCTTTCATGTCTCTGGCAGGAGCTGAAGTGAAAGACGAGAGCTCAACCCGCCCCATGACAGCTCTCAGGTCTCTAACCTCCTGCTCAGCTTCCCAACCACTCAACGGGTAGTTTGTTGCTAAGTGAACCACATGACCGAGACAGAAAGATTGCTGGTTGAGAAAATTGTGGGTGTCACTGTCACATTCAGGTAAAGTTCTCTGTGTATAGTGTCATATGTCTGACTTTTTTTTTTGTTGATGGTTATTTTATGATGCTCAGTTGCTATGTGTCTTTATTTTATATTCTGCATTTTATTTGTTTTTAACCATTTAATTGTAAGGTGCCCAAAACCACATACGTGAGACGGGTAGTCATATAAATCAAATAAATACATTGTGGATGTTGTTGACATTTCTATTGAAAACGTTATGAAAATAATTTTATTTGGCTACCACAGTCAGAATATATATATATATAAAACCAATAAATTAAAATGCCTTTGAAATTTGAGTTCTGATGCTCTGAATCACATACAAAACTTTTAACAACTTCCATGCAGTTTTAAGGTATGCTATATATTGCAATTAAACATCCCAATCAAGTAAATGTTGTGACCCTTGCATTATTTTAAAAGACTTTAAACCTTTTGGTGTTTAAAGTTAACCCTGTCTTCTCAACCCAAACCACTTTAAGTGGGTTGGGCAGAGAAGACAGTGACTGGCCAAAAGTGATTCAGCAGGCAGTCATGCCTAAGGCAGGATTAGAACTCATAGCCACTTGGTAATTGGCCAAAAGTCACCCAGCTGGCAGACTCTTGGTGATTGCCCGAAAACCACTCAGCTGGCAGTCATGCCTAAGGTGGGCCTTGAACTCATAGTCACCTGATTTGTGGCCGGGCGCATTAATCACTAGACCAAACTGGCTCAAACTGGGTGGAGACTCAGCTTGTTTGATATATTGGCCTCATTCCCTGGGAGAAGAAACTGAGAACACTTTCCAAGTCTCAGCACTGTGCCATGCTTCCTGTGCCATGCTTAGAATGCTGGATTCCACTTCTCTGTGTCTCTTGCCTTTTCCTTTAGATTTGTTGTCCGCTTATTAGATTCTTGGTCTTGACCCAAATCAAGCCAGGCACTATGCTTATAGTTATCATTTTAAGATATTGATAAAAGGGACTTCCGGTTTGCCATCGCGGCCGCCACAGACGCTGGAAGACAAGCTCCATCTTCCGCATTTGATTTCGTTCTACTGGAGGACCCTGGAAAGGGTCGAAAGTCGCCCTGTAGGGGCGACGAGCAAGGAGGAGACTCCCCCTTGATCACGGGAGGGCGGCAGCCCTTCCGCTTGATCCAGGGCAGCCCTCCAAACCGGCGGAGGAAAGACCGGCCATGGGAATATGGCTTGTCACTAAGCTGCAGACAGCCGAAGTCAAACTTACCATGAAGCACTTCTAAAGCAACGCAGATGAAACTGGGTGAGATCTGATCTTCTCTTTAAGATCTTAAGTATTTTCTTTTCCTGTAAAAGCTGCCCAAAGTATTTTTCCCCCTGTGATGAGAGAGGGAAGGGAATTTCTACCCCACCCTCTAAGAACAGCAGCGACTGACTACCCAGGGGAGTTAAAGCACTAAAATAACAATTTTAATCTAATTGGGTTTATAAGTTTCTGAAACTTGGGGACCAAAAGTTTTCTTATTTTTACTGGAGACTTTTGTTTTTATCTACAAAAAAGAAATAAAACTGGAAAAAGGATTATAAAAATTTTGGACTTAAAAAACTTTAAATGGCATCAGTCACATCTTGTGGTGAGGTTTGGTATTACAACTTGTTATTGCCTAAAAGAGACTTGGCTTGAAGAGATAAAACTCTTTCGACCTTGATAGATACCACCTGTGAGAAACTCAGCTGTAAAGAGAATTTCTGGGCGGCATAACTGGCCTGCTTGAACTATGAATGTAAACCTTTACTGACTTTCAGAGCTATATGTGGGGAATTGCTTTCCTATTTCTTTATCTGAGGAACATTGGTTATTACATGAGATGATGAAATACCTTGACTATAATATCTTACTTGATAAACAACTTCTACTATAAAGACTACCTATAATACGTGAAATAGAGGTCCCATACCTAGTTATAAAATTATTTTTAACATCTGATTTTAAAGTCCTCAACTTAACACACTATTAAGAGAATATGGATGAAGACCAGGAAAAGATCTTTTCCATGTTGAAAGCAATACATGAAACCATTCTTTCAGCTTGTGACAAATTAAGATGCAACATAAAAGAACAAGATACCAGCTTAGATATACAAACCCAAATTTTGACTACAACCAAAGAATTAACAACGCAGAAGATAACAGAAGAAGTGGAACAATCAAATACTAAGACAGAGGACTCAGTTGACCAACAAACACAGTTAATGGAAAATCCAGAAAAGAGAGCAACAGCACTGAAAATGGAAAAGACTTTCTATATAAATCAGAAGAAATTTGAGGAGAAAGAAGAAGAACAGATTGAATGGAAGATAAACATATCAGGACAATCATGGGGAATTGGAATAATAGGGAGACGATCTAATGAACACAAATGGGCTAGTCCTTCCCAAAAAAATGGCAACTAAATGGTCTTTCCTATTTCAAATAATATATATAATAATAGAGGGAGATCTATTTGATGATTTAAAAGTACTGACATGGAAAGCTAGTTAGCAAAGGAAGAAAGCCAGAATAAGGCTGAAGAAAATTGGGGTTTTGATTTATTAGATAGGATTTCATATTATTAATTATACGTTAAAGGGAGAAGTTGAGATAAGGGTAATTTTGGTCATTAAATTTAAAATATTTGGAAATTAGTTGAAAATAAGGATTCTATTTGTTTAATATTTAAAAATTAGACCCCAAAGAAAAAATATGAATATGTTTGATTTATTAACCCAGACAATATATATAATAGTTTTGATTTATTGAAGGGGATACTGTATTATTAATTAGATGATTTAATATGGTGGGAAATAGATAACTTTTAGAAAATAGAACAAGACTATACTCAAATAGATAAGATGTTAGAATATTAGATCTGTTATGAATTGAGCTAAGGGAAACTTTGGTTACCTAAAGCCTGGAAATTATAAATATCAAATATTAAATTTGAATATTGATGGGAAGTTAAAAAATGGGGAAAAGCCAATAACAGGACATTGATTGCCTATAAAGATTGAATGTAAAAGTAATTAAGCTAAAATTTATTGATAAATGTAATAATGATGTTTTTACTTAGTTGATATAATAAGAACTGTATTAGCTTAAATATGAGATAGTTGATATTAAGGGAAAAAGAGAGGAAATATTTGATGTTGCAACTTGAGATTTGTACTAAAGATTTTTGTATGTTATTGAACTATTGATTAACCCAGCCACCACCTTGCTTTTTACATACCTAAATGTAAAATTAGAAAACTAATAAAATATTAATTTATTAATAATAATATTAATATTATTAATATTAAAAAAGGGACTCTTTTCCTCTAAAAGTTCTGCCTGAATTTGCGTATCACTGGACTAGGGCCGGTATCCAGTTTGCTATCCTTGTTGAAAGAAAGAAAAAAAAGGCAAGTAATAGATCATTGTTTTACATTTTCTTCCATAAAGAGTGTAGGACCTGAA